ATGGATGGTAGAGAAGTCAAGGTCTCGAAGCCAGAGACTTGACCCTTGAGAAGCCATCAGAGCTAGATTCAAGGGGTCCTTCAGGAGAGGGAGATGGAATAAGCCTTATTAGGGAGTCCCAAAGCAGAGCTTCTCCTCAAAGATAGCATGATCCAAGGTTGCATGTGTCATCCCTCATTTTAAAAAAGTTTTAAATATCCTTAAGAACATCTTCACATAAAAAATTTAAAAATATAAACCCAGTTTTTTCTGAGTCTACTGTGCATCTTGTAATCAAATGTTCCTTTCCTAGATCTGCAAACAGTGCTATATATTAAAGCTATACAAACATCTCCATTAAAGTGAAAAAATAGAAAGGGAGGCCTTGATTTTGAAAGGTGGAAACAACTTAAGGTAGGAATGGAAATAATATCAGGGTAGAGAAAATAGAAGATGCTGTTGCCACAGCAACAGTCTTCAATACATTTGTACACAAGGAAGGAGGAAGACACCATTAGAATATTTTACCTGCTTAATTTTGGAAAGACAAGAGCCTGAAGTGGAAGACAAAGTTACAACTCTATTACATTGCAGGAAGAGCTGCAGTACTCAAAAAAACCCTCAAACAAACCATGGCTACATCTAGTTTGGGAGGCAACTTTTATTTAAATGTACTGAGGACATTATAGATGTAGGTAACTTGGAATTTGTCACAATAACTATGGAAAATTTGAGGCCAAAGGACAAGAAGTTGAGTAATAAAACTATAGAATTATTACCAGGTTAAACCTCAATCTGTTATTTCTGGTATGCCAATATTTTGTGTATTTTCTTTTTAATATCACTATAATTAATTGAAAGGGAGGGCACGGTTAGTGTGGAAGTCCTAAAAGCACTGTGTTTATCAAGAGAATGGGAAGGTCATGGGTTTGCTGAATACTCATTACCATTCAAGGCACTGTGCTGTGGGAAACCACAGCTAGGAGGATGCATCAGAGGCACTTCACATGCAATTGAGGCTCATGTATATATGATGGGATGGAGAGGAGGAAGTTTTGTGTCAACTAAGTCACTTCAGCTACTTTTACCACTACATGCTATTTATGTAACTTACGCATGACATAAACACTTTGTTCTTAGGGGTGTTTTAACAATTTACTAAATGGCATGAACAGGCCACATTTTTAGCATTTGCTGTTAGATCCCGGGTTTGTATAACCCAGTAGTTGACCACTATTTGCTCATTACTATGTAAGCAACTGCATAACTACTCATGTAAAGAGCCTTGTTGGCATCAGCATTTATCTCAGGTGGTTCCATCACTAGTTACTTATTTGGGGAGAAAATCTGTAATCGGGGAGAAATACTGTAATTTCCTGCCATGATCCTACCATGAGTAGGATTGGACAAGATGGACTTCCTAAGGGCAGGTTCCAGCCTTGCTTTTCTATGATTCTACCTCTAGGTTTGTTTGGATACAAAGGCTTCAATGACAATTTGGAAATTTCAGTAGGTATAATCTTAGCCCAATGTGCTTTGAAAAGGCATTGATGGCTCTTACCTTAGTGTTAGTCAGTTGTCTTCTGTTAGAGACAACACTGGGGATGGTGGAGTACAGACAATAGTTGATGGTGCTGTAGCTGAGAAAACAGTGTTAAAAAGGATTTCATAAGAGTAACTGATGATCTCAGGAAAATTACCAAGTTTCAGGTGCCAATGCTAGAATGCAAGATCCACTACAGTAGGCTTAAACTAGATGTAGTCTAGCCAAAGTTGAAGGTAGTGTAGTGCAACTGTCTTGGTGCAGGGCTATCCATGGACTAACCAGTTCTGCTGAGAGGCATGCTAATTAGCCAGGTGCAGTACAGCATATATGTGTTACTGTTATACTGCTTTCAGTTTGGATGCTAGCTATGGGCCACCTCCTGAACCATGTGACTTGAAGTCCAGAATACTCTGTTGAAGTATGTAGTTTCAGGTTTGAATAAGCTCTATACTCTTATCCAAACTTATTATAAACAATCAGTGCTCCTTAAGTACACAACATTATCAGTGCCGTGATATTTACACCCCTAGCTCCCCACATTTTCAAGGCTTCTAATAGGAGCTCTGACAGTGACTGTTGACTTGAGAATGACAGAGGCTAGTCCATTTCCAAGCTGCTAATAGCACAACACTGACAGGTCAGTGTACCTAAACAGCCTATACTGCTGTCAGTATTGTGGTATTAGCAACCATGAAAAACTGACTAGCTCCTGTCATTTTCAAGGCTTCTAAAGCAGCCCTTTGACAGCTCCATTTACTCTTTCTGATGCAGGCTGCGCACCATACACACATGCAGGTGGGTAAGTGGACTCTTACATCTATAGGGTTGTTGGTTGTAGCTGTGTTGATTTAAGAACTGTGTCTGCCTATGTCCTTTAGGTAGATGATATCACATTTACCCAAAGAACCTTGTCTACCTCTCTGTACTGCATGTGGGTGGAAGGTTGCTCCGCCACCCCGCTGCATGGGAGCAGACACTCCCACCAGTCATCCCCTTGTGTCTCTGTGCACCATCTCACCTGCAGCTCCTGACTTCTTCTGTGGCCCCATGCTGCACAGATGCTTCAGGCTGTTGGCTCACCTGGTGCTGTGGGTTGTTTCTGTGCTGTGTTGTCCATCCCACCCTCTGGGAATGGATCAGACAGCAGAAGTTGAGGGAGGAGGCGGGAGCCCCATGACCCTGGCTACTGCTACAGTCAGAGCAATGGGGGCAGAATCAGCTAGGTAGGAGCCTGGGAGCTGCATGTTTCATAGTTCTTAGGGGCTGGAAGGGACCTTACAGATCATCAGTTCCAGCCCCCCTGCACTTGGGCAGGAAAGACTTAACCTCTCACAGGCCACCAGTTGAACAGCTGTGCTCTAAGGAGACGATGGAGATTTGTTGAAGCCATCCTAAGTGTCAATCAGTGAGCTGTAGCCGACTGTTAGGAACAATGGATTAGAGTGTATGTTGAAGAGATTTGAATCACAGGAGATCTTGTGTTTTTAGATCCTTTACATGTATTGGATTTCCTAGGGACATCTTACGACATGCAGATATGATTTTCTTTTCACTTGATTGCTACATTTGTGTTTGAGATACCAGGACTCATTGAGGCTGACACTTGGATCTATTTGCTCAGCACTCCCACGCAATCTACAATTCAGGGGAAAGTTAAGACCAAAGCCCCTAGATCAGTGGTTCTCAACTGGGGTGTCATGAGGTCCCCTCAGGTATGCTGCTGCAGCAGCAGCTAGTTCAGGGGTGGACAAAATATGGCCCACAGGCTGGATCCAGGCCATTCTACCTGGCCTGCTGGGCCCCTAAAAAAATGCAGAAAATATTGATCTGCTCCTGGCTGCCTGTCAAAGATGACAAGAGCCAGAGGCAGTAGGACCCAGGCGGAGCCATCAGCAGGATGCAGCAGCCCAGCCCTGCCCCAGACATTTCCCTGTCCTCCTGCCCTGGCACTGCTCCAGCACCGTGTAGATCCTGGCTGCATTGCCAGACCATAGGAGCACAGGGCTGCACCAGTATGGGTGTGTGTGTGTGTGTGTGTATGCGTGTGTGTGTGTTCATAGGGTTAGTTCCATAGGTGCCCCCCACCATACACATGCACCCACACCCACCCTTGCACTGCCATACATACAGACCCCCACACCCCCTCACACCCCAGCTACCCTCTCCCCACACACATCCCTCCACAAACCCCATACCCACTCACACCCCACATATCCACACCCCCTCATACACCCCAGCCACCGTCCCTCTACGCACATCCCCCCACACCTATCCACCCCCCACAGACGTACCCACCCCCCCACATACCTACAGCCCCCCACAAACTTATACCCTCCCACAATATACAAGAGTAAGACTTCATCTTAAACTATTATATAATATCACCTCTATGTACACTACACATGTAAACCAGGACAAAAATATTTTTTGAAATCAATGAGTGTTCTAGATGTTCACTTTTTAAAATATATTTTGGTATTTTTCTGTTTCTGAGATGACAAAACCCCTGACTGAAAGGAGTACTTTTGAGGGTAAGGGAGGAACTTCTGGTGGCAAAGGTCAGGGGTTGGGGGCACAGGCCTTCTGGTCACAAGATGGTGAGTGGGGCAGGGCACCTGTCAAGGGACGGGGCTACCCATGCAGCCCTCGACAGCTTTCCAAAACTCAGTAAGTGGCCCTCTACCCAAAGTAATTGCCCACCCCTCTGAGCTAGGTAAAACTACCCCATGATACCCCAGCATTAGGGCTCTAATCAGTCTAAAGCAGGCAGCAAAGCTGCCTCCTGCTGTACAGCCCTTTCTGGCCCAGTGCCCCCTGTGCTCCTCTCAGGAACAAGGCGGGGTGAAACTCTCCCATCCACTTCTGTTTCCAAGAAGAATGTAGGGGGTGCTGGATAAGGATGGGCTACACAGCAGGAGGTAGCTGCTGCCTGTTTTAGGCCGGTCAGAGCGCCCTAATGCAGGAGTATACATGTTAACTGCCCTTCTTGGGCTGGCTATGTAGCAGGTACTGGGGGCAGTTTCATCTGGAAGCAGCAGAATCCAGCTGAGAAGCTCTGAGGTAAGATGAAGTAGCACCAACAGTGGTTCTCACTCAGGGATGCTGCCACATTCAAAAAAGTGGACATATACTGCAACCCTGCAAAGGTTGAGAACCATGGGCCTAAATGTAGAAACAGAAAAGAGAAAAATTGGAAATTAAGAATGAAGAATGAAATGGTGGTGTAATCCAAAATACAACAGAAAATAAGCATTAAAGTGATAGAAAAGCACAAAGAGGATGTAAATTGAAAAATCTTACTAGTATTGAGTTACCTGCTCAGCAAACTTGGATTATGGCCAGCCATGTTAATAATCTGCACCTTTGTCAGATGCAGATTGTCTCAGCAGTAAACTTCCTTTAGGACCTTATTTTGATTACTAATGCCTTCATTTTTTAAAATATATCCTTTTTTATTTCACGTTGCAAACTCTAGGAGAGTTTGTCTGAGATCATCTTCCCACCCAATAGGAATGATCCTGTGGTTAGTTTGCAAAAATGAGACTTGGGAGACCGCTGTTCACTACCTGCTCGGATTCCTGTGTGGCCTTGGATAAATCACTCAGGCCCAAATCCTCAAAAGTATTAGATTCTTAAGAAGTAGGTAAGCATATAAGTGCTTTTTGGGGGTCTGTGCTTTAATTTCTTTTTGCCTCACGTAAAGACCATAAATAGCTCTTTCTTAACATACAGGTGTTAAGGATTAATTTATTAAGACTGTGAGGTGCTCAGATAGTGAGAAATGGGGTACCTTTAAACCCCCCCTGTCTAGATCAAATGCTATATATGCAGTAAAAGCAAGGACCTTGATAAATTGGCCAGTTGATATTCATGTATAACATGTGTTTCTTCAACACTTTTATGTTGGGTTTTGCTGCTATGGTTTATTTCTACATGGGATCAGAATATATGCCAGGTAGGTAGGTAGTACAGTTTTACTACAAGCTTGGCAGCCAAGATCAAGCAGAGGCTTTGTAAATTCCTGTCAGAGTAAATAGTTAATAAAAGAAAGACTGGCGGTAAATGGTCCAGAATATGGCAGAAGAAGGAGCAGCCACGGAATTAGAAGAATCAAAATATAATCCTAGGTGTTACGGTTGGAGATAAATTCAACATGTCTCTGTCTTTCATGACTGCAAATACTCTTTATAAAATTTAACTTAGAATTGGATGTGTCTGTAGAAAATATAGGATCATTCCTTAAGCATTTTTGAGAAGGTTAAAGGATTTATCAAAAACTCCTCACCCAACACCAAAATACTCGAGATTACTTTGCTAGTACCTCCTTGACAGCATCTCCATGGATCCAACTTGACTACAAGTTTGAAATTGAGGAGCGAGATCAGTTTGTTTAGTTAGTGATAATTGTAGAAAACTGACTAGGTGTTTGTCTATAATCTTTCAAGCAATCTCCGTCCATTCATTAAATGTTAAAATGGAACTGGGGCCCCTGGCAGACTTTAAAATCATGAAGAATGTTATGCCTCATCTCAAAAATCACACATCCTGCTATATCAGACATGCTGAGCATTGGGTGTGGGTTATCTTCTCTTGTATACTTCATTTCCCCCTCTACACATCATTAATGTTGTGTAGGCACACAACTGCTTTATCGTTGATGCTTTCCAGGTCCTCATCCTGGGTATGTGAGTGTGCTGCACATAGGAGGAGGTGGTCTGCAGTCTGTGGTGCATCACCACACTCGCATATTGGACTGTCCTTTAAACCAATCTTATAGAGTGTGGCATTAAAGCATTCAGCTGCAGAGCAATTCCTGTTTAGTTTAATCCAGCAGTTCCCAAACTCTGACAGAGAGTGCATCATCATCAATTTAAAACAATACAACCTTGAGTACCACTAGCAAATTTTTGTCATATAAAGTAATTATAATAATTTCTGTTAATGTGTACCACTGACAGGTTGTCTGTGTACCACTGGTGGTATGCATACCACAGATTGGGAACTGCTGTAATCCATAAATTGTGGGGGAGCTTGTACCCAGGTGGGCAGGATATTGGGTTGCTTATGAACCGCTTGAGATAAAAATCAGTCTCATCCCACTTTTTGTGGTGGTGTTCAAGTGCTCATAGGGTACTGCTCCCACCTCTCACTGTTGCAACAGAAGAAAAGAAGAAGACCCCCTATCCCTCCTCCTCCAATCCCTGAGATTGATCTGGGTGCAGTTACAGGTCTCAAACTGGTTCTTGCAAACTATGCCTCCTGAATCCCTCTCTTCTTCTTCACCATTCTGGCTCTCAGATAGCTGATTTAATCTCTCTGCCTGATCAGAAAGTTGTTTTGAGAGCTCCAAGCTCAGAATAGAAAGCCTTACTTAAAAGGTAGTGGTCTAATAATAGTGATAAATTTTGCTATATACTGAAGTGACCTGAAGGACATTTGATGCTCCAAAACTAGTCTAACTGCTCTCCCAACTATACGGTTAATCCAATGAAAGATATCACTACAAATCTTTGCCTGTTATACATGTCCTGGGCCACCACAGTGATAACACTTTAATCCTGCTATAGGCTGGTGCACAGAGACTTCAGTAAAATTGGGCAAAGCCACAACAGTACTAGCAGTTATCACCATTATGTAGTTAGTAACAGCATTATTAGTAAAGGAGGATATTTTGATGAGTTCTGCAAAAATGTCTGTGTTAAGGGAGCTCCTCAAATTTCTGAGTTGGAGGAGAGGCTGATATTCCTAGTTGGGAGAATGTTGAAATACTGGGCTATGCTGATCTTATAACAATATTTCTGTTTTTTCAGATAAATGGGTGTGATTTTTCTTCTGATGTAAAACGGTTCCATGTCTTGTTTGGTAAGTTTAAATTTAATATTGCTTATTTTCTGCCATATGTCTTTAACAGGTTCACTTTATTATCCAGTCAGGTATCTAAAAATGAAGTAAAGATTTTGGTGAAGTTCCTTGCTATTTGACATGGAAAAACTCAGCTTCTAGAACTCCAACGTAAACCACTATTTAAATTGTTAATGGTGAAGGAGTGTGTACTGTTCCAGCATCCCAGAATAGTACAGAGAAAGGTCCGGCCTGTTTGTCATTAGTTACTGCTGTTAAACTAGGGCATACTAAATTAGGAAGGAAGAAAATCCCTCAAATGGCTTAGGGTTTTTCTCTGTCCACCAGGAAAAGAGAACATGGTGTGGAAGAGGGAAACCACCTCTGGGCCTGAAAATGCTAGTGTTCCCTGCCAATGGCCTGAACAGGCAAATATTATGCTCATATTTTATTTTTATATTATAATAATATAATTAGCAATCATTTAATTATTAATACAATTATAGTGCTTATATTCTGATATTTGTACTATATTTCTATTAATTTTTGGAATGGGGTACTGCTAAATTCTCAAAAGTTATAGAGAGGTGCCTTGAGTCTAAAACGCTGTGAACCATCAATCTGGATGATGAAGTGATAAGCGAGGACTTAAATCATTATTTCTTGGATTCATTTCAGGTTCAGATGCACTTAGTCGGTTCAGGTTCCGCTCTGACTCAAGCCACCAAAAAAACAAACAGTATCTCAGTTATCATTTTGAACTGGTTCATATAAAATTTCTTCGATGCTTGTGTGCGACTCAGATTCCCTGGTTTGACCATAAGAAAAGACACTATGTTCTCAGAGATTTTGGTGAGGTTGCAGCCAAATAGAATGTGGTTTTGGATAATATATTGTTAGTACTACATATAGATCATTGACCTCATTTATTAATATGTATTTCAAGGATTGTTCCTGTATTCTGCGTACAAGAGTTGAATCAATCAGACCAGAGAAACAGTCTGAAAGCAACATCCATCAATATTTGGTAAGAATAAATCCAAATCTGTTAAGATTTAACTAGCAAAATTAAGTGCAAAATGATGGTTGAGAGAAAGTCCTGTGAAATAAGGACTTGGCAAAGATTAAGGCTTCTACTACAACATTAATTAGTGAAGCTGAGTGTAGCGTGGGCTGGATTTTCTATTTGCATTTTTCTCAGAAAGTGTAAACTCTTAAGGATGCCTATACATATGTTCCAACATGTTAATTGAGTGTGTTGGAGTGTTCTAATTAGAACGCTCCAGTGTGCTGCAGCATCTCATGTATTCAGCATCCCATGTTTCAAAATGGTGGGGGGGAGGGGCTTTAACTAAAGCTTGTTGAATGAGATTTAGTTGAAGCGCTCATGCCATTTTGAAATGTGGGACTCTGAATACACAAGACACTGAGGTGTTTTAATTAGAGCAGTTCCTGAGAGCCACTTTAATTAAAAGGCCCCCCTCCAACACACTCCAGAGCACATGTATAGACACCCTAATGTATTATCCTTAAATCTATACTAGAAAAATTCTGGATGGATAATGAGGACAGGTTCAAATCTGTGATAGAAACTTTAATTTGACTTTTATGATTTTTTAGTTTGATTTTAATTAATATTGCATTAACATTAGTTTATTAATCCATTTTTAGAAATACAGATGTAGGTACTAATATTTTTACTTCTAGGCAGATGAACCTGACCTACTCTGGATTCCTCCATCTCCCGGAGGGCATGAAATGACATTTTGCTCTTCCAATGTCTCTCATTATGAACTCCAAGTGGAAATAGGTAATATGCCTTGTCTGTTTAAATACCTTTCTGTAAACATGTTACTGTTGGAGGAAAAATGATACCCATTCAGTGGAAAACTAGAAACTGAGAAATATAAATGCTGTCCCTGATAGTCCCATCCAAGAGTATATTCCCAGATCACTCTGAATGTTTGCACCGTAATATTATCTGATTTATTTCTCATGTTGTGAATGTTACTTATTAAAAATAAATATAATAGAAATGAATAAAGCTATGCACAAGCCCAACTGATTCTGATGTCTCTATTCATACTCCCAGATGAAAAAATAAAAAACTCCTATTGCTGCACTTTGTATGTGATCACTCTAAATATTGGAAGCAAGACTGGTAAAATGTCAAATTAGCACTGCTACTTTTGGATCCTTGGTAGATCTGAACTATTCACCAGTTTGCAAGGTGTATAGATTCTTCTGAAGAGGTTTCTTTTGCTTTGATGTCACTTTCTCTGCTTAGGTAAAGACCAGTGGTGACATTTTTTATATTGAACATGCACAAAATAGTTAGTATTTGTAAGACATTTTATTGGCAGAGAGCAATACAAGTTGTTTAAATAATCTTCCTTGGATTTAAATAACCTTTCATGGTTGAACTGGCTTATTGGCCAACATTAATTTTAAGCAAGTTCTGTTATTTGCATTCTCAAAGCAGTAGATTTGCTGCAGTTAATTTCAGTCTCAAGAATTTTAGATTTCCTTGATCACTACGTAAGGAAGAAATGTTGTGGACTTTTTGAATGACTTTTTTACAAAGTTAACAAAAGCAGTCAGATTGATTTTGGTTACAGGAAGAGGATTCAACAACTTAACTTCAGTCTACCTTGCACAACATATGCCTACAGGATCTCAAGTTGCTGTAAGGATCACAGACCTAGAACGCTGCTCTGAAGACCATTTAAAAGCTTTACAGGTAAAAGAGTGAGACATCTGTAAAAGTCTGATGGGTGCACTGTACTGAGTGTGTGTAACCGATGCACTGTACCAGAGACAGCCTCATTATATTAATTGGTACGAACTAAGTTATGCTGCTTCTTTATTAAACGCCAGAGAATAAACTTGAGGATTTCTCTCAAAGTATTTTTTATCTAGTCATGCAGGAATCCTAATTGAAAACATGAGACATTTATACACACAATTTTTTTCCAGCAATACGCCAGAGATCTACTGCTTTGGAGCAGACTCGATTAATCAATTAATCAAGCAGACTCAATTAATCATGCGACTCGATTAATCAATTGCACAGACTCATGCATGTGAGCTGAGGCAAACTGCACTGCACCACGTGCAGTTGTACAAGTGGTGAAATGTGCGCTAGCACGCAGAAAATGGTAGTGGTGCACTTTTGAACTAGTCATGCAGGAATCCTAATTTTTAGTTCAAAAGGAGCATTTTTACACACGGGATATTTATACACATAATTTTTTTCCAGCGATGCACCAGAGATCTGCTGCTTTGGAGCAGACTCAATTAATCGAGCAGACTTAATGGCGCTTTAATTGATTAATTGTGCAGACTCAATTAATTGATCAATTGTGCAGACGAACTGCACTTTGCCATATGCAGTTGTACAAGTGGTGAAATGCACATCAGCACGCAGAAAATGGCAGTGGTGCACTTTTAAACTAAAGCACCTCCAAGGTGTTTTGGTTCAAAAGGAGCATTTATACACATGGGGCATTGAGATACATAATTTCTTTCCAGCGATGCACCGAAGATCTGCAGGTTTGGAGCAGACTCAATTAATTGATTAATCGCGCAGACTTGATGGCGCTTTAATTGATTAATTGTGCAGACTTGATGGATCACACAGAGTCAAGTCATCGATTAATCGCGCAGTATCGATTAATTGATTGATCACGCAGACGCGATTTATCATGCAGACTTGATTAATCGATTAATCACGTAAACTTTGAGGTGCTTTAGTTTAAAAGGGCACCACCGTCATTTTCTCAATGCTGATGCACATTTCACCACTTGTACAACTGCACATGTCACAGCTCTGGACACTTTTCAAAGCGCCCAGAGCTGCGATGTATGCATATGTAAAAATGTCCACTAATTCTATGTTCTGCACTAGTAGGTGAAGTCTGAGTTTCTGCTATGAACAGATTATGTTTGATAGATACTGATACCTAGAGCTAGTTGTATACATTTTCTTTGCAGGTTGTGTAAATTATCTGCAACATACAGTGGACATATGGTCATACAGTGGAATTCCAAATTTTTAGGTGGCCAACTTGCATGTAAAGGACAAACTTTAAGGATACCAGGGACTTATATTGTTAAGACTTTTGTCTAGATGGCTGTCTTCTAAATAGCTTGTTTAATTTTCTAGAATGAGGTGGTGCTATCCCACTTTTTCCAGCACCCCAATGTAATGACACTTTGGACAGTGTTTACTGCTGGAAGCTTGCTTTGGGTCATCTCTCCATTCATGGCCTATAGTAAGTATTGTAATAGTAAGTGTAAAATATGTATGCTACTTAAGTAATTTTGGACAGTGTCTATGCGAGGCCTTTGGCTCTGGAATAGACAGAAGGGATGTGATGAAAGAAAGGTCAATCTTATTGGACATGTACTATGTAGCTTAGACAGACCTGTACATTTTGCTTTTTAAGAAAAGTAATGTGGATTGGCTATAAATGCAAGACATCAGTTAATGGAAACAAGGCATACATTGAGGAGGCTTCATGATCTTTCTCTATTGGAAGAGATCTTCCAGACTAATGACTTCAGTTTGCAGTGACTTTTTTCTTCATTGGCATTTTCACTGTATCATAGTCATTGTAAAGAATGGAGAGTGTTCTTCTTGAGATAATTACTCAGTGCTTTGCACACAGTGTTTTATTGTAGGTTTTGTAGTTATTGTCTCTCTAACCATACTTGCATGCTTGCTTAGCTATGTTTTTCTCTTTCAGGTTCTGCTAGTCACCTATTGAAGAATTATTTTCCTCAAGGAATGAGTGAAGCTTTGATAAGAAACATTCTGTTTGGTGCTGTTAGAGGGTTAAATTACATGCACCAAAATGGCTTCATTCACAGGTATGAAAGACAGTGCCATGTGTAAGAATCAGATTATAGTAATACAGAAGCTTGTGGCTAATCATTGTTCTGTTTAGTTTACCAGCAGCCTAGTAGCTCACATCAGATTCTTTGAAAAGAATAGGAACACCCCCCCCAACTTTTTTTTTTTTATAAATGAAACCCCATTTCTAGCATTTCTTATCAACTGGTAAGTGCTGTAAAGAAGTAGAGTGCTTACTGTAGTCATTTTTTCCAGCCCTAAGGAAACAGATATGCTACTTCATGTTCTCTGGCCCTATTTGTGTATGTCTACAGATGCTGTTGCTGTTTTTCTGTTGCTATCAAAATATATTGTTAAATTTCCTAAACCACTTCTTTCAAGGGTGTTCTGCATTGTAAATTCTAGGAGTTGCCCTATAAAACATTCTTTATGTGTTGCTATTTGGTTTAATTCAAAGTTTTCTTATTCATTTTTGGGCTTAGATGAATGGGGGCACCAGCATGCTTTTCATTAGACTATCTATTAATGTTGTGCATCACTTACAAGGTATGAAGCACTGAAAACTAAAAGGGATTACCTTTTCCTGGCTTCCAGAAGGAATTCGCAGCCCTGAGTTAAATGTTAAGCTTTCTATATATTACAAGAGGAATGTTGGAAAAGGTGCACAGGAGGGTTGGTTTAAATCTTGCCCTTGTTGGGGAAGATGAGGGGCATAGGTACCTATAACAGATTTGGTTTCACAGCTTCAGACTTTTCTCAAGTTGGGACTTATGTTGTCCCTTCAGCAATAGACCAGGGGTTGCTTTTTCTTTTACAACTTTGCTGGAGGAGGTATATTATAGAAAAATAAGGCAGGAATGGATCTCAAGAGGCCTTCTAGTTCTCTTGACTAGGGGGTTGGTAACCTTTTAGCACCACAAGCTGGTGCTTATAACCCAGCTCCTTGCCATGGCCGGGAAATTGTCACCATTTCCCCTCTGGTGATAGAAAGTATTTGATTTGGAGTGCCAAAGGAACAGAGGAGGAGGGGCTGGAAAGTTAGCAGATGCTGCAGCAGGTGAACATGGCACATGATAGGACCTTGGGGACACCCCTTCTGCTGCCCAGGTTGCTGCAGGCAGAGGGGGTAGATCAGTAGCTTTCAACCTTTTTGGGCTTGCAGGACCCCTCCATGAATATGGCATCTTAACTCTTGAGTAGATTTCACTGGAATGTCTCCATCCCACCTTTTGGATCCCGTAAGCCAAATATTTCTCATTTGCCCTTCTGAATACACATTTGAAGCCCCAGTGTATTTATCTCCTTTTCCCTTCCTCTATAGCTCTGAGAACATCTTTAGTCCATTGATGTCAGTGTATACAGAGTCCTTACATTCTGCACACATGGTAGTTCTAGTCTCAACATGGGAATATTTGACTCAAGTGGGTAAAAGTTATTCGAGTGTAATACTTGTAACCTGATTTAAACAGATGCTGAAAAGGATGTAATTTAACCCTCTAACAATAGGAATACAATTCTGGTGGCATATAGAACTGTAGCTTTGATTCCTGACCTTTCAAATGCTGTGTTTCTCAAATTGTTTTGATGGAACACTTCTCATATATTGGGGAAGTGTGGAAGGGAAGGGTGCAGCAGCAAGGTTGTAATAAAATCAGCAGGGTTAGCATAAGCACTAACTTTGGATATAAGATTCAGTGTTTGACCAAACTATATGTATAAATATACCCCATCTCTCCAGCATGCTGATCTTCTAGGTGGTCTCTAGCTTACTTACTTGGTGAAGCCATTTCAGAAATATTTTATTGAATGGATGAGAGAAAGGATTCTTACTATTTTGAGTGATTCTTATAACTGAGTTTCATTACTTTGTGTTTCAGGAATATTAAAGCTAGCCACATTCTGATTTCAGGGGATGGTCTGGTTTCTCTTTCTGGTTTAAACAACCTCTACAGTTTAGTTAACAGTGGACAGAGGTCAAAGATTGTATATGATTTCCCTCAGTTTAATACATCAGTACTTCCTTGGCTGAGTCCTGAACTGCTGAGACAGGTCAGTGTAAATTATGCTTCATTTTGCCTTTCCAGGGTCTCAGGATAATAGTGGTTTCTTTTTTAAAAGTTGTTTGTTAGGTTTACAAAAGAGCAATAGAGGCTGCACGTTTCAATCTTTAGTATTATATTTCAAGGTACACAACTTTGCCTCTTATATAAAAACATATATTTTAAAAGTGGAGCTGGTTATCTTGATATCTCTACCCCTCCTTGCTTGTTGCTTCTTGAGGAAATGATCCTAATGGAAATAGTTGTTTCATGGCAACCTGAAATTTACTGCATTGATACTAAGATTTTCTTCAATGCGGATGTCTGAACTCTGAAACCTATTAGCAATGGATAGGCACATTTAAAATGCTATGAGTCAGAGAGCCCGATTCAGTGTAACCGGGTCACAACTTGTTGGCTACTGGGTATTGGAACTGAGTCTTGAAACTGTATTGTATGCATAGATATTTACATTGCATGCTTTCTGAAGCATGGTCTTTAGCTTCCAAGGAAATGATATAATGCTTGTTCTGTCCTGTAGGATTTATATGGGTATAATGTAAAGTCTGACATTTACAGCGTGGGGATTACAGCATGTGAATTAGCCAATGGACATGTACCATTTCAGGATATGCCTTGCACACAGGTAAAATGCTGAATACTCCTAAATCTTTCTCAAAAATTTGTGGAACCATTTTGTTCTTTAAAGGAACTAGTAACATTACTACAGAATGTGATAAAAAAGTGGTGGTTTTATTTTTGTGATTTCGAGCTTTCATGCTGCTTTGTAGAACAAAAGAATTTTCCACTCCTGACTTTTCTGAAGTTGAGACAACCATGGGAGTCTGTTATAGGGCCTTTCCTTGCTAGTAGATGCTGCAATAGTTGAAAGGTTCCTTTTATTCCTCTTGGGCCATGGAAGTCTGTTATAGTGCCTTTCCTTTCTACTAGATGCTGCTGCAAAAGCTGAAAGGTTCCTCTTATTGCTCTTGGGATATAAATACCTTCCCCCATGGGGAATCCAGGATGAAGAATTCCCGATCATGCATTGATTCTGGAATTGGTGAAAGCATGACGCACACAATGACTAGCGAGAGACTGCATGTTCCATTCTCAAAAACATTTTCCCCTGCTTTCCACAATTTGGTAGAACTCTGTTTGCAACAGGACCCTGAAAAAAGGTAATTTGTCTGTGAACAATACCATATTCACTGTCACTTCAACATAAAATGTGACAATGATACATTCACTGTTACAGATTTAATGTGTTCTCTATGAGTAGGGACCTAGCAAATTCATTATTTCGCAGTGTTTGTGGAAACTGAGAATTTGGTAGGTCCCCCATGAAAAATCCAGGTCCCCATTAGGGTTGCCAACCCTCCCGGATTGGCTGGGAGTCTACCGGAATCAGCATTGATCTCCCGGTGACTATTGAAAGTAATCCAGGAGATGGATATTGTGAACCGGTTGAACAGTACAATTAATGACATTATGTCATGCTGGGGAAAAAAATCTCCCGCAATAGCTTCAGTCAGACTTGGTTATTTCATGGGAACCTGGGGAGGGACCGGAGAGGCCCCCACACCTCTGATTGGTCGAGGGGCCCCAGAAGTCCCACCCCTCCCTGTAGATTGACAGTTGCCCTTCTGTCACTCTCCAGGGAAGAGCGGGACTGCTGGGGCCCCTCAGCCAGTCAGAGGCATGGTATGGGGGGCATTGCTCTCCACTGCGAAAATAGTGCCTGACGCTTTATGGACTCCTATAAAGGCTGAGAATTACATGGCCATGAAATGTGAACATATTGCCTGTGTCAAATGAAAATTGAGATGTAGAAATAGGACAGAGAGCTCATCTTTCTCTTCTTATACTTCATTTTTCCTGTGGATAAATAACCCTAAGGCCTAGCATGCACTCTCCACAGACAACAGTGCTTAATTTTCAAACCATAATGCAGATTTTTTTTTCTTTGTTATGACCCAGGCCATCAGCAAGCAGTTTGCTGTCTCACACTTTCTTCAAACAGGTGAGCTAAATAAATTTGTATTATTGTGAGAGGAGCTAACTGCAGCCTAAGTAAATGGCAAAATATTATAAAATTTGGTTACAAATAAGTAAAAGAAAAAGCAGCTGAAACCTTAAAGACACCATATAATAATAGGGGGCCTCCAAGCAGTTCTTGGACAAAATACCATAGGTTTTTACACCATCAGCATCTTGCGTGTTGCACCACACCATGATCCCATTCCTGTGTTAAACTGAGTCTGAAAATGATGATTATTTAATAATGACTACATTCAAGGTAAAGTGAGCTTAACTACTGAGATATTTGGAAGTAAAAACTTTCATTGCAAATCAGGCTAATCGCTTCACTAGCATTAACCATTCCAGTGCTGTCTACTCTGGAGTGAGGGAAGCTGGTCATAAACTCTGCCTTCTCTAGCCTGATAATGCAGAAAAGGGCTGCTTTACTGTTTCATGCAGCTTTAGGGGAGATGTGCACAGTGTTTAAGTGAACTTGTATATACAGTGCTGTTCTATTCAGCCTGGTTTCTTCTCGTCCTCAGGTAAAAGAACAAACAAAGAGTTCATTACTTTCACTGTTGCCACCTCCTGCCCAATACAATAGATCACAGTTCCTGGCACTGCCCTCAACAGAAGTTGGGACTGAGCCTGGATGCATTTCCCAAATTGAGAGAGTCGCGGAGTGGGAATTCTAAAATGATGCCAAACTGTCATACCTCCTTCATACTTCGAAGAAAGAAAATATGATTTCGACTTGCTGCTTTTCTCTGTATTGATTTAAATACAAACAGCAGACATACTTGAACACACAACTGTGGTAAAGAGACAAATTGACCTGAAAAATTCTGTTCCAAATCTGGTCTTACAACAATGCAGGAGGCCTCAGTTTCCTGACTGCAAGGAAACCATCATAGTAAGGGTGTGTTCATGCCCTGTCCTCATTCCTAGCCATCCTTATGTGATATCACATAGCAAGGCTGCTGCTGTATTCTGCTCTGGTACTACATTTCATCTAATGCTACTGCAGTCAACTACCTTCTTGAATGCAGATTCATGTTGAGCCTTCTCCAGTCACTTCATTATGGTCAAGGAGCTGGTTCATTTTGGTACAAAGTCTGAGGATAATGCAGCATAGGAGCTCAGTCATGGGGTTTTAACTTTCATAGCATGCAATTGATTTCCTTGATTATACAAGTGAATGTTAGACATTTTATACATATGCAATGGCAGGGTTCATGCTTTTCCTCACCTGTAGTGTCTTATCCACTTGTTCCAGCTGAAGGATGTTTTTTCACCCTGGGCTGGTGTTGTCAAGCCATTTGGACAGTTGTATACTGTTATACAGAGAAGTCTACCCACTTTGCATCTCTCATTCTTTCATTATATCAATGCTTTTGCCTTGGTGGTCTCATCCCAGACTTTATTTCATCACCCTAACAATGAAGGACCTAACATGATGCCTGGTAAAACTCAGCTTGTAACCTTTAACTTAAGTTGTCTGTTTCTTCTGAAACACACATTTTAAATACTTTAAATACTTTTAATAATATAAAGATCTTAGGTTGGACAGTAAAAGTAATTTACCTATCCGAAAGTCCTGAAACCACAGCTGTGCATGTTTTCTTGAAGAAACGTTCCATTCAAAAAAATTACAGGCTCACAAGGTTGGAAAAACCGTCCTCTACCTTTGAGGTTCAATGCTACGTACCTGTAGGCTGGAGTCTTTTGCACAATGCTGAGTTTTCTAGTTTGTCTTGAAATAACATTCAGCCCTGGCAAGAGAAATTTCCCTTACCCAGGGTCTGTAGTAGCCCTTAAGCATGTTTTGTTTTTTTCACATGTTAGATCATAACATTATGTGAAGGATAATTTAATAAATCAACATTACTTAATATTATTACAGATAATGATTCACAATAGACTGGGAGAGGATTAAGCAAGAAGACTGAGCAAGGCAAAGGGAGCCCAAATTTAACTCGAGCCATATGTTATCTCAGAAAATCAAGACTATAGCAAATATTACTAACACCATAATTTTAATTTAAGCATGAACATAGATGTAAGGTTTCAAATAAGTATAAAACACTGAGTTTGTGTTTAATAACTTTATTTCAGTTACATGCATTGTGTTCTGAAAAGAGATGAGGCTGTATGCAAAAAGTGTAGAGTGTACTTCTGCTTTGCCAGTAGGGCCAGACCACTACAAAGAAGATTGACTTAGGAAAAAATATGCAAGCCTGGCAGAAGTGGCAAATACAGGGGCAAATGTAAATCACTGCATAAGGAAAAATATTAACAGATGATGATGGTTATTCCTTCACTATTTATGTGCTTAAAGGATCTTTGTTTTCTCCTACCTCACTCTGAAATATAAATTGTAAAACCTGCCAATAAACTCAACTTCTTACCTTTTATTCTGAATCTGTTGCATTGTGTGTAGGGTAGAAATTGCACTGAATTGGCTCTTAACCAGGGTGCTGTGAAATCTTTTTTAAGAGTGCCTAGCGGAAGTATTAGCACTTGCACACAATTGACAAGATAAACTCAGAGATTTCAACTAGGAATCCATAGAGACGAACACATTTCAACCTGTTATGGCCTCCCTGAGTTCTTTACAACAGAAGAATTGCTCTATCATTTTTCTATTAAGAAATATATGAAAGCTAAGAGCTGCCACTTTCTGAGGGATGCCCTGAGTCTAGTAAAGGGTGCCTTAAATCTAAAATACTTGAGAATCATTGCACTATAGTCTACCTTAAATATGCTACATGTTGTATTGTAAGTACAGAGCAGCTACAGTGAGGAGTAGCAGTAGCCACCTCTTGCTACCCCTCTTATTACCCCTTTTCTTAACGAACTGTCTTTGAAAAGTCTCCCCAAGCTCCCTGGGATTGGCTTTATTTTGTTAATATCAGCAATTTCACAGATGGTCCATCCACAGCATGTCCATAGCTCATGTGGAATTGGGGACCAGCAGCACAACCAATTCTTTGGCTAGGGACAGAAGCTACTCTCAAACTGGTTTAAGCGATCAGAAACTGGTTTAAACCTGTAACAGAACAGAAGCTCAGTGCACATAAACCAGTTTCAAAGTGGCTGAAACTGGTTTAAAATACACCTGGTTGAATGTAGTCAGATCAATGCCCCACATTGAGGGAGGGTTTGGGCCTAGGGCTGGGACCAGGGCTGCCCAGCTGGGGCAGGGGGCCATGGGACACAGGTGCAGCTCGCTCCGGGCAGGCACAGCAGTGCTGGGAGCAGGGGCTATGCCCTGCTGCTGCTCGCCCAGCTACCCAGACAAGCAGCACACAGTGGCAGGAGCCACTCCAGCCTCCCCACGCCCCCTGGATGAGCCATGGCTTCGCCCCACCCCACCCTGGCTGGGCAAGCAGTGGCAGGGCATGGTGGGGGCATGTGCCCTGGATCTGTGTAGGGAGGCGGGGGCCAGGGCTGCGCTGGGCTGCGCTCTGGGCAGGGGGTGGGGGCTATGGGGAATTTTAGGGTGGCTGCAGCCCCACATCATTAAACCCCACTCCACCGCCTGCCCCACACAGATCCGGGACACACGCTCCCACTATGTCCTGCACTGCCACCACTTGCCCAGGAGGCTGGAGTGGCTTCCGTTGCTGCGTGCCACTTCTCTGAGGCAGTACAGTGCCTCTTCCTTGTGCCCGCCCGCCCCCCGTCTGGGTGAGCTGCGGCAGGGCATAGCCCCCGCTCCCAGCATCACCACGCCCACTCAGAGTGAGCTGCACCTGTGTCCTGCACCCCTCCACCCTGGCTGGGTGAGCGGTGGGAGGGCAGAGACCCTGCTCCCAGCGCCTTTTGCCTGGAGCACAGTGTAGTACAGCCCTGGCCCTGTGCGTCCCGTGCAGATCCAGGGCACATGCACCTCAGCCCCCATGCCCTCCCAGGCCAGTGGCATGCAGTGGCGGGAGCCACCTTACCCCCTCCTCTTTCTCCCCCATCTAGACCACTTGCCCCAGGCCTGATTGCAGCCCCAGCCGCAATCCATCCCTTGCTGCAGGGGCACTGATCTGCCCCCGCATGCCCTTTCCCTCCCTCCTCCCCCCCACCACAACAGCCTTACCAGCTGGATGCAGCTGTGTCAAGTGTTGTAAAGGCAAAACCTGCATCAGAACCTCGAAACAGGGTGTCGATTTACAAATGTCATAAATGCCGTTTGTTGTAACTTGAAAGGTTTTAAGTCAAGGACTGCCCGTATATCTGCATGGGACAAAGTACTATTGAGTCATGCTCCCTGCAAACCTCTAGTGGGCCAGGTCCTCTGTTCACAGCCATGATGCTCCTTGTAGGGAACGTTGTGCTTTATACTTGTTTCTTCCCCATGAATAGGTCTATTTTTGAATGAGGCCTGTGAAGGGCTGGAGTGTACACAGGCAAAGCTGGCATACACAGGCTGCTGGGAGAGGATCGTGATTGAGATGGGCAGATAGCAGCATCTGAGTGTGAAGCTTGTTGGAGTAAAGGCTGTGTATGCTAGTTTAGGCTCTGTCCCCACTCGATCAATGAGCCATTCTGTCAATTGACTCCCTCAGCTGCCTGAACTTCTGTTGTTACAGATTTGAACCAGTGTCTTATCACTGATACCAGTTTATGTATAATTTCTGTCTGTAGCCTATGAGTAGCCAGAAGGTTTAAATTGGTTTTCCCACGTTTTGGGATGAGAAATTGAAGTCTATCTAATCTGAGGTTGTTAACTGGAACTCCTTTGAAACTGAACTTGGCCCTTGTTACTGCCAAAAGATTCTTGACAGAAGGGTTGCAGAGAGATTACCCCAGATTTTTCCATTGTTTATTATACACTCTTGGAGACCTGAAAATAAAATTTCTGTGCCTTCTCTCCTTTCATTTCAGCAACTGTTTATTTCCACATGGACACAAGTGTTTGAATGGAGCTCAAGTGAAAGCTGAGTTTTAATGGCATTAGGTTAAATATGCATATGCCTTGGCATCAGTGGAGATTATCCCTCTTGTTTGGGATAATTTAGTTGCTGATAACTGCTACTGCAAGGCTAGCTGGATAGGAAGGGGGCCTAACAGTCCTAAGAAATGCTTGTTCGTGACCAATTTTAAAAATCTAAACAGAAGTTTAAAATAACAAATACATTTAAAGAGCAGGCCATCTGCTGTGCTAGATAATGGTGACTGCCAAGTGCAGCTCTACTCTGAACTTCATAAATATACCAGTGGACCTGCTCCTACATACAGCACTGGCCATTAAAATAACCATCCCATTACTTGTCAAATGAGTCAGCTTAGCCTGGCATCATGGAGAGAGAAGAAACATGCAACCTTTCTTACAGAGTTGACTTCTGAAGTGGAACTACATTTTAAAGTGGTGTAAGTTAAATCATCGGGCGTTTATCTACATAGTTTTCTGTTGCACAACATGCTGGAGATCCACTGCTTCAGAGCAGACTCAATTAATTGAGTCTATTCCTCATGCGATCTGAGATGAACTGTGCTGTGCCACGTGTAGTTGTATAAGTGGTGAAATGTGCATCCATGCACAGAAAATGGCGGTGGTGCACTTTTGAACTAAAGCACCTTCTATGTGTTTTACTTCAAAAGCATGCTGCTGCCATTTTCTCAGTGCTGATGCATATTTTGCTGTTTATACAACTGCAAGCATCGCAGCTCTGGGTGCTTTTTAAAGTGCCCGGCGCTGCGGTGCTTGCATATGTAAAAATGCCCTTAGGATTTAACCTTTATTTGCATAATGTCTGTCAATGAAGAAAGACAACGTCTGGGCCAACAGTCAGGGGAAACTTAGCACAGCAGCCAGGGGAAGCAAAATCATTCTGTGGCAACTGCATGCAATTTGTAGAAGCTCTCTGGAGTAAAAATTATAAACCATAATGGCCAAGCAAACCCTATCGCATTTCATTTCAAAATGTGCCTTTCTTAACATTCATGTGAGCCATCAGAAGGGAATTCAGATGTAGCCTCATATCTCCAATAAGTAAATGCACCATATGATTCATGCATCTGAAAGAAAACAAGCTAAACACACCATGGTTTAGCAAGAACTCCCTGAACTCTCTCCCATTTCTTGTCTTTCAAAAGCTTTTGTGGACTTCTGAAGGTTTCAATGACATTTATAAAGCCACAGCAGACAGCTGTTTTGGAAGGTTACTATGCAAAGAAATATACCTACAGCATGGTTTAAACAAGTAAAAACCAGCATTTGTTCCCGGTTCCTCATGCATCATGGAAAGACTTTTTAATTATCTTCTAGAAGGCTGAAGATATTTTTTTCCACTGTATGAAAGCCTTTTATATCATTAGGTCATGGTTTTGACCAGAGGTGCTCAACCTTCTGGCCCGGCAGCCTAAACGACTGGTGTGGGCCTGATCTACTGTGGAGTCAGTGTGTGTGGTCGGTTTGCAGGTGTGATCCAGTGCACTGGCCTGGCCCTGTGCTCAGGATCCTGACATGGAGCAACTCTGCACTGTGATCTGGCACACAGGGCTATGTCATTTAGCCTGTGGGACTTCACCCAGGTCCAGAAAGTTTCATAGATTCATAGAAATTAGGGGCTGGAAGGGACCTTGTGAGATCATCGAGTTCAGTTCCACCCCCCCACTGGACACTCGCACCATAAAGAACTTTTTTCTTATGTCTAGCCTAAATTGGCCTTCATGGAGTTTATGGCCATTAGACCTTGTTATCCTTTGGGGAGCTCTGGTGAACAGCTGTTCTCTCAGGCCCTGATGTACCCCTCTTATATAATTGTAGGCTGCTACCAAGTCCCCCCTGAGCTTTCTCTTTTCCAGAGAGTCTGCCCTCCAGGCCTTGGATCATACAAATGGCTCTCCTCTGGACTCTCTCAAGCTTTTTCACATCCCTCCTGAAGTGGGGGGCCCAAAATTGTAAAGCGGGAGGATGACATCCCTGGTTTTGCTTGAGATGCATCAGTAGATGTACGCCAGAGTTTGGTTTGCTTTGCCAGCCACAGCATCGCATTGGTGACTCATATTCATCTTGTGGTCAATCAAAACCCCCAAGTGTCTTTTGGTCATGGTGCTAGTGAGCGTAGTACTGCCGAGCTTGTCAGTGTGTTGAGGGTTCTTCCTACTGAGGTGCAGCACCTTACACTTCTCAGAATTGAAGGCCATGCGATTTTAGTCAGCCCACCTTGAAAGCGTGTCCAAGTCAGCCTGTATCCCCAGCCTGTCCTTCAGTGTGACTGCCCATCCCATAATTTGGAGTTATCTGCGAACTTTACCAGTTCGTATCTGACTCCCGATTTCAGATCGTTAATGAAGATAAAGAGTACCGGCCCAAGTACCGAGCCCTGAGGGACTCCACCGGTCACCCTGTGCCATGTTGATTTGTTCCTGTCAACTAGTACTCTTTGGGTCTGACCCCATAGCCAGTTACCTAGCC